ATGATAATTGAAGGCTCTACTTCCGTACACAAGCAGATATTATCCTGAGTCCAAAGAATTGTAAATCCTATTGGGCATCAGCTGTAACCAACTAACCATAGTCATTTCAACTCGTTTATGAAAGCTTTATTTGGAGGAATTTCTCTATTCCGTCGTGTTCTGTGTGTTTGTGATTTTGACACCATTGTGTTTTTTTGTATAAACCCGACTTGTTTGTGTCCCACAGGTGGACCTGCAGAAGGAAACTCTGGTCAACTTCCTGTCCCTCGAGGTTGGTTTAATACCCGCTTCATATTTACAGTGAATTAACGGTCACCTCTATATAAAGACTGGGAGGGAAGAGGGAAGTGGAAAGAACAGGCTCTGGAGGTCAAGTTCCTAGACAGGAAGAGGGGATCCCGTCTGCTTCCTTACAGTCTGATGAGGAGTGCAGTGAGGGAACACCCTCGCCTCAGTCTAACTTCCACTCCCTTAACAAGGCTCGCATGTGGAACAGACACGTTGTACAGTTAACAAAACGCATATTATAAGGTGTTAATACTCACATTCCCGACTCCTGAGCAAAGCTGCACACATTTAAAGCCCGCTTCCAAAGAGCAGAAGTTTAAAAAAACACCTTAATTATATTATGCTAAGTAACATAAGGCTGCAAAAAGGACCTTAACACCACACTTATATAAGCAAAGGCCTCTTTTCCAGTACTGAATGGGCCACCTATATAGTCAGCCCCTCATAGCACATGTGTCGGAGAAAACAAAGAAAACATGTGTCAAAGAACAGCCAGGCATGCAGCAGCAAAGGCCTGTTTGAAATATGGCAAATTAGCCAGAGTCACACAAGGAGTCAGAGAAGTCGAAGTCGTAGATAAACGATGTGTACATTCTGCTCTGCCACAATCGACATGCAAAAATAAACTCCAAGGCTGCAGTTACAAAATATATATTTATACCTTTAGAAATACTGTCTTCTGTAATATTCTCACATTGTGAGGTGTTATGTTGGACGGTCTGACATTTCTTGATGGTAATCATGACTTCTACCGGGCTTTGTTTCATGTCAATGAGCTACTTTTCTATCCTGCATGCATCAATTTGTCCCTCCTCCTGTTGCTGTAACCCTTGCGTCTTTGTTTTTACAGTTTGACACTGAAGAGCAGTTTAACAGCAGCGTGAAGACCCTGCTGTCTCGTCTCCCCAAGCAGCGCTACCTGAAGTCCATCTGCGATGAGATCCACCATTTTAAAATGGCAAAAAGGTGCGTTTTTGTGCCTTTATATGTTTACACGTAATCCTTTACTACGCTGCTGTAATTACTCTTTGACTCCACTACATTTCATGGGTAAATATTGTTTTAAAATCCCCATTTTCCCATGCGTAGCCGTGTCTTGAGTGTCAAATTTTTTTTTTGCGTTTCAGTTTTTCTTTCCCAAAAGTAAAGAAACAGGAGGAACTGATACTGTAGTGACACTTTCCAAACAAACACCCCCCCCTGTGTTAGACCCCCAAGATGTCTCTGTTAGCTCGCATGTTTTTATAAACTAATGAATTTTCTGTTTTAAAGTAGGGAGCGCAACATAACAGCTATGCCATCCAGTGTCCCAAATTAATTTTTTAATGAAAACTGATGCAAACGGTGGAAGGCATTAAATGTGATTTTTTTTAATGGCTTAAAAGACGGACTTCCTTTTAAGGGCAGCTGCCACACCAAGGCTCCGACCAAGCCCACGCGGCCCAGTTGTAACGGTGACAGTCAGTCCTTCAAAGGGAGCTGTTAGATAGATAACTACTGCCTTACAGAGCATCAAATCCTCAGCTGATCCCATTTCCTGAGGTGAAATCTGGGGGAGGATTAGCCTTGTTTGGTCCTCCGATGTCTGTCTCTTAACACCCAACTTGATTGAAACTGCGATTGAAGCAAAGGGGGTGGGAGCTTTATCCATCACTGTGGCTGTGAAAGGAGCAGTTAATATTCCCCAGAAGAATGTTCAAAGCTCAGGCTAATTCCTCAGTGTTTTAGCTTCTAGCGTTGTGACGCTCGTGAAAGCCCACAGAGAAACACCCTGTGAGGGATTCAACGGATTTTCTCTTTCATGAATGAGATGGTCACGAAACGAAATCAAAGCTTCTCTTTCTGGCTTCCCGTCTGCCTCGCCAGAGCAGTTGGTTTTAATTTCCTGTTTCTGCTGTGTGTTTGATTTGCCATTTAGAGAGGGGCGGGGGAGTCTCTGTTGATACATGAGCATCACTGAGGCAACAATGGACATATTCAGTGTGTGTTTTATTGTGTTTGTTTAGTTGTTTTCTCTGAGTGTGGAGGACAGGCAACAGAAGCCAGATGAGTTAAAGAGCTCATGAAGTCACCTGGCTGCTGGAGGACTATAAACTAAACACACCCTACATTAGGCATGTGTAAGAGAAAAACTTTGTTCATGACCTGTTTCTCTGAGCAATTTAAACTAGCAGCTCTATGATGCTGTTATAATGCTTTAAGCTTAGCACTCACTTCAACATGCTAATATGCTCACACTGACACAATGCTAATGCTATGTTGATGTTTAGCTAGTACTACGTTAATGTAGTTGAAATTTCTTTTAGTCTGACACTCTAACCAGGCCAAAGTTTCAACTAGATTAACATAGTACTAGCTAAACATCAACATAGCATTAGCATTGTGAGCATGTTAGCATGTTTGTTTATTATTAATTTATGTTAATAAACAAACATGCTAATATCCTCACAATGACACAGTGCTAATGCTATGTTGATGTTTTGCTAGTAGGCTACTATGTTAATCTAGTTTAAACTTTGACCTGGTTATCGTGTTTGATAAAACAGCCCTGGGGATTATGTGACTTCATGATAGCACTTGATTTCTGAGACGTTCATTCAAAATGAATAAATAAAAGTAATTGAACCTCATTGTGGCGTTAAAGAAACTTTTAGGTGATTTAAAAAAAAAAAAAAAAAGCGATTACGCTTCAAAACAATTTGATGTGAAGTGGTAAGAAATACATTTTATTGTGATTTAGTGCTATATAGATACAGCACTAAAGGAAGCTACTATGAAGTCATCCATTGGTTTATTGATCTTTTCATTATGGACATCACCATTCATTTATTCATTTTAGCCAGAAGTGACCATATAACACACAACCACATCCGAAGACAAACATAGCTTTAGCTCAGTTGAACTCTAAATGGGACAAATACTGTGTATAACAAACAAAAACAATATTATGCTATATTGATGAAGACCTGAAACTAGGGATTAACACCGCAACCTTATTGGTAAAATGTCCACTGGGACTTTAAATCAATTTAGAAGTAGGGTTGTTTTTTCAGCTTTTAACAGACAGTGTGTATATATTAGCAACTGGTAAAGCCCCCCCTGCTGGCCATTAGAATATGCAGATTTGAGGCTTTACTTTTGAAAACGAGGCTACATTTAGTTCTATGCTTCATCCTCCAGGGACTGGGAACTTCTACAAAAGGTATAGACAATGAATCCACTAATTGATAAGATATTTTATTCTGGCTGACCTTCATTGCTGTCTTTACAGCTACAGTACTTTATGGTTAAATTTTGGAGGGAATCTGGAGGGTAATATTATATATTAGAGTAATTTTATTGAGTTTGTTTTCACTTTTACTCTGAGTTGTGGATCTTTCTCAGCCACAACATGGAAGCTTTACAGCCCTACCAGCCTATTCAGCTAAAGAAATCTGAGATATGGAAACCCTCCCAGCTGAGTTTTCATTGCTTTTCAGATGTCCCCTTTTGGAAGTTTCCATACAGTTTTTTCTTTGTCTTTTTTTATTGTTCTTTTGAACCTTTCTAAGTGACAGATGTTGTCCCCTTGCAGGATGGCTGTGGTGGTCTTGTACAGCTACAAGGACGACTATTACAAGATCCTTATATGAAAACCAAATGGGGGTTCCAACCTACCGCCTGAGAGATGTGCCGCTTTTGCTTCTAAACTCAGGAGATTTCTCGAGACTTTTTTTTCATCCTTGGACCACAGGAATGTACTTGAACATTGACAGATTCATACCTTTTTGAATACGAAAAAGAAGAGCCGCCACTAAACTCTACAACTTTCCCCAAACTTTCCAGTTTTGTGTCTTTCTCAAACAAGGTGGGACAAAATATTCACGAGACTTGATTGCCTTAATACAATGGAAGAATTTAACGTGAAATGGCTTTTTAGTGAAGATTATGTGTCATAAATTCAACTATTTTATATTTCTACTCAGCAAAAATATGAATGGTAGAAATAAATTACGTTTTTTCCCACATGGAGCTGTGATTCTGTCTTTTTTTTAAAGTGTATATGTGAGAATAACAAGCAGAACTGTATTTTTACTCTCTGAATATTGAGTTCTGCCTGCTGATTATTCTCATCGTAAATCATATGTATTAATCCAGTTATTGCACAGTTGAGATGAAAGGCTTTGTGCTGCTGTATTCGATGTTTCAAGGCCTGGGAAACTCACCCTAATGTTTGCTTTATTGATCCTTCCGGAGAAGCTTCCTCACCTTGAAGTTTATGAGCGAGCTTCGACGAACAAGTCAAAACGACTGCCCAGTATGAAGCGAGGGATTATCCAGGTTTCCAGATCCGGCCTGCGTGTCTTTGTGTGTTTCTGTGTTTTATTAGCCCCGCTGGATAGATGAGGGGTTTCTACTTGCTCTTTGCTCATACTTAAATCTCAGAGGACCCCCCCCCCCCCCCCCACCTTAGAAACAAAATGCCCCCACTAAACACATTTGAAAGTGCTACTGAAATAAGACAAAACCATGGTAAGCAGGGGAGAACGATCTGATTTAAAGCAACTAAGAAAACAAATTCCCATTTGGAGGCAAACTCGAGAACCAGATGTGCATGAGCCTGTAAATGTGCCAGTGAAGTAAAAACCACTAACAGATACCATCTTAGATGACATCACTGCACTACACTGAACTGTTTCTCCACACTTGTAAGCATCATCAGAGCTGACTGCTTTGATTCACACATTTATTCTCAAAAAGAAGTGTAAATGTTACATTTCATCATCTAGGAAACATATTTACAAGGTTTTGCAACGGTGAAATAAATAAGGTTGTAAAGAATATAGCAGATAGAAACGGTAAATAGTCTACAATGTACAGCAGCTTTGGCTACCAAAAGTTCATTTTCAAAAAAAACAAAAAAACAACTCAAACTATAGTATTAATAAATAAAGCTATGTGAAAAAATAAATAAGGTACTCTTTTGTCCTACTACTTTAAACTACGTTTTTTTTGTTTTTTTTTACACAGAACAAAGAATTGCGTAAGCTTTTACAGTCGCCTCTTCATTTTAAAGCACATGGTCATAGTTCAAACAGACACAGATCTACCGAGTATCTAAAACACTTCAATATTAATTGGTCTCTAACCAATTTTGGCATCAGAATTGTCTTTGTATCGAGAAGTTGGCAATGGATTGAGAACTGGGATCCTAAACTTTTTTTTTGTTGTTGTTTCGATCAAACCCACATTTTGTTTCATAACACTTCTCAGATTCTGTCCGATCAGAATCGTTGTGGAGCCTCTCGCCGCAAACGCTGTGTTCACATGAGTGGTTTAACATCTCTGTGTGCTTAATATGCCAATCAAATCCCTGATTAGGGACTTTATCCGTCCAAGAATCCTGCAGAGTGCTTTCTAGACTGCTAAAAGAAAAGTGCTACATCTCTTTTACATGCTCTGCTGTTGTAATGTGAACCATTTGTTTGTTCAGCTCCCATTACACTCTCCTGTTACACAATCTGTCCCTCCTAATAATGAGTGAATATGTTTCTCTGTTTAGATGCCCTGATTTGGGGTAACACGATTAACACGATTTTTTTATGACAAGATATCAATGCATTAAGGCTTCAGAATTAAGGCTTTAGAATGAATCATTTCTGGCTTCTTACATTCAGTGTGAACAGATGCCACACACACACACACACACACATACATACACACACAGATGGGAATGAAGGTGTGAAATGAGGCATGGTAGCAGAGACATTCCTCTTAAGTCCAGATGAAGTGTCTGGCACCATTTTCTTTTGCTGCATTCAATAAAAGGACATTCCTTCAAGGATGAATATCACTCCTTGTGAACTTAATTCCTGTCATTTCTACGACGATGAAGCACGACTGATTGGCTGATTCCTTCTGGATGAGCTAAAGTGGTCATTAGCTACTGTGTTGCAGGGGTGGAGAGCAGATTCACGTTTCCATTCTTAGGATTGCGGTTTGTTGTCTGGAGTTTTCTGAATGGAATGACTCGGGTCATCTGAAGGTAGGCTATTATTCAGGAAGCTTGTCCTTCCTGAACTTATATCGAGAGGAATGTAACATCTTCAAAATATTTCAATCCGGCCCGTTGGAGAAAGCCTATAATAAAAAAACAAGTGAGGGCCAAGAACAACACTACAACAAGTACAAACACTGTAGAAATACACGAAAAGGAAGATGGAAAGCACACATTCTAAAGCAGGAGTTTTGGATCCTGGGGTCTATATAAAGCCTTGTTATGATTTGGCTTCTGAACCCAATTTTGATCCGTGAGTATTATCAGTTCTCTTGGGCTTCCTGCTGATGGAGATGATTACATCCAAGAAGCACAGTTGAGCTAAGAGGGGGCAGCGTCCTCTAAACCCCCTTTAAACTGCAGCCCCATAACCCCCCTCCTAAAGCTTTTTATGCTCCTCTTATTGCCTCAGAGTTCCAGTTTCAAAGGAGGCAGTAATGAGCAATAATTTTACAAAGTTCTCAGTCACAGTCTGATTCTGACAGAGGAGCCTCTGTGGCTGCCTCCTACTTTGTTTTTTTCAAGCAGAGCCCAGAGTGGCTGTGTCCACAAAAAAAAGTCCACCCTTAAGTCCACCTTCCAGCGTCTCACTCCACCTGAAAGATCCCAAAAACAGACGGTAACGGACACAAAATAAAGGAAACCAGAGATCAGTTTCTTTGTCTCTTGGGAACATCCTCAGTTTAACTGTCACACAGAGAGAAAGGGTGGGAGCAAGGTGGCATCCAAGGTGTTGTCAGTGACTAAAGGCAGTGAGAGAGAGTGGGAGGGGCCAGGCAGCTCTGATCTGCAGGGGTTTGAGCTTTGTGTCTTATTAGCGCGGCGTCCAGTCTTTCCCCATACTCAGCTTGGCTCTGGGGATGGTCATCTTGTCCACACAGGAGGAGCTCATTTCTGGAGAGAAGTGGATGATGCCACAGTCATTCTTCACGTTCTGAAACTTGTTCTCCTTGGAGGGCTCCATGTAGACGACTGCGTTCTTGTTCACATGCTTCTTTAGGATCACCGTCTGAGTAGAGAGAAGAGGAAAATAATATGATCCCTTGTTGTTATTAAAAGACATCATAACTCAGGTCCTGACAGCGTGTAGGTGATGAAAGCTCACTAAGTTTATGTTGCCTTGCTCTCATTTTCTGACACAACAAACCAGTTTAATGGTAGATTTTATGTTGGACGTGACCTTTTACACTCCAAAGGGCAAAGGGAAACTACATAAAGCCTAAAGTCGTGACAGCTTTAGTGACCTATTTTATGTGATTTACAGAAAATGTCTCACCTTCTTTGGCGCACTGTAGCAGGACATCTGCACCCACTTCTTTTTCTTGTTGATTAGCAACGCCACGACGAGGAAGATGATGATGGCCAGGAGGAGACCTGCCAGGATCCAGGCTGCTGATTGGTAGATAAGGGCCATCTCTGTTTGGCTGGGGTAATTCTCGCCCAAAGCTGGCTCATCTGTGGTGCATGGAAAACATCAATAATAAATATCAATTCCACAGGAAAAACTGATCACTAATCCAACCAAATCCAAATTGGAAACAGAGTATTTCTGGGCTTTAGGTTGTGATTTGGGCTTAGTGTTAACACTGAAAAATAAATCAATGAAGAGCGATCATGTCTAGCCAGTGTCCATTTATCATTATTGTTTAGTTCAGCTTTCACTCATTCATCAAGGCCTTCCAAACATCTAAAATTAGCATAAACATTTACAGAGATTGGCAGAAGGGTAAGGTAGAACAATGAAGCCAACAGCTTAGATAATGTTACTCCTACAGTGTGTTGAAGGGATTGAGGAGAAATGGCTGTGTGTGCTGTTATTCAATGAGCATGTACCTGTTTCAGCGATGATTGGCGGTACCGTGACCGTGGTGATCCACGCTGCACTCTCCGCTGTAACGGTGACTATCGTCTTGGGAGCATTGGTGGACACCATTACCGGCAACGTGGTTGTTATTTCTGTTTTCAAACAGAAAATAAGATCCAATATCACTGATGTCATCCAGAACATTCACGATATAAACATTTCCAACTGTGAGCTTGTGTATTAAACTCTCTTGCGTCTTGATTGACAAACTGTGTTTATAAGACCTGTTCTCTAAACTTTCCCCAGTGTGCTGCTTTTTTAAAGGCAATACAGAAGAAAAAAAAAAGCTCTGTTTCCCGCTGGGCCAATAACACAAACAAAGGCCCGGTGGAACGTCTACATAACAGGCTGAACAATGGGAGCCTATGCGGAGGTTTTCTTCTATAGGAAAAGCTGACATTGAGCTTTGCCTTCCTGTGCCGCCACAGAGAGAGTGTTGCGGGGCCGATTCAGCCGGGGACAGGAAACACGTGTGAATGTGCGGATGCTCGAGGAATGTTTATGCTCTGACAGACGAGCGTGTGTATGTCGCATGGAATGTTTTTTTTCTGAACGTGTGCCCATGTAGCGCCAGAGTGGCTACATCTAATGCACAAACACAAATCCCACGCTTTCAGCCTGGAAACCGGCATTCATTCGTCCTGCCCTCTTTTTGACATGTCGCATTATGAATTATAACTTTCCAAACATCAGGCTGTGCCTCGTTTTAGTGGTGCCACTTACAGCTCCACTCACCAGTTTGTGTGAGTGTTTCAATACTGCGTTTAAGTGTGCAATATAACCACATAAAGAATGTTAAAAATTCACAGCTGACTATACTTTTAGCTCTACCGTAACACTCAAAAGCTTATCTTTGGCACAAAAATATATAAAAGCAGCTTTCTTTTTTTATTGAAAGGCACCAAAATACTCACCGAGACAGTGTGGGCAGCACTGGCCCTTGCGTAAGACGGGCACCCTGCAGTTGGCAGCAGGACAGCGCTGAGAGAAACACTGAATGGTGCCGTTGTTGCAGGTGCAGCTTGTGCAGGCGTTGGCCTTCCAGGAGTCTCCAGCCAGCAGCACGTCTCCGTCGCTGGTGATGCAGTACTCCTGCTGACTGTTGTTCACCGGCAGCAGGGGGGTCAGCTTCTCCTCTGGGGGTTGCACACAGGCATAAAAAAAAGGGTTAATAATGAAAAAAAACCTAAAAGGTTCAACGCTGTGTATTAGGTCACGGTGCAGACTTGTTTCTCCAGCAATAAGACTTGGCATTGTAAAGGTAGATTCTAAGTTTAGCTTGAAGAAAAATCCAAAGGCTCAACCTCATTTTGTCTGAGTTTCCTGCTTCTACACAACTAGTACATTAACCCCTGCTGTAAAACTTCTCAGTCTACAGGAGTTATGAGGCCTTTAGGGCAACCATAAAGATAAAGTTCTTTACTGTATGTTAAACACAAACACAAGTGAGTCCATTTTGCAGACCTTAGTTCTAAAGGCTTATCTCTGTGTCTCATCAGACTTCCGCAGGCCTAAGAGCTGTGGCCTTGTCATAACCAAAGACTTAGTTCGCATGTAGACACTGTGCTAAGCAGCAGCACACATACATCATAGGGCCTGTCAGTGTGATGTGTATTATTCCCACATTCCCTGGTGACCAGGCCCATACATATATCAAAGGCTGGCCTCTGACAATCTGCTTTTGTGAGGGGAGATGCAGCGATAAGGCGGGTCAGCATTCTCAAGGAGCCGCTCTCAGGCGCAGTCATGCTTTGCTGATTTGTGGGCCTCATTCTTGGGAGTGCTTTTGATATGTTCATTATGAGCGTAAAGACACATGCTTGGGTGTCAGGGTATGGTTGTAAATAAAACGTGTGCGGTTTGGTGTTCAGAATGATATTTGTGTGTCGGGGTTTCTTCCCATAACCGGAGGAATAGCACAGAGTGAAAATGTGTTGCTTTTTTGTCCTTCCAGCTATAAGCGAGTTAGATGAGGGAGGCTATTTGGTGCAGGTCGCTTGGATGAAAGCAGTCCACATGTGCTGCTGCTGCCTTCCTAGAGGATCACTATGTAAACCCAACCGGTCTTAGCTGGTTTCTTTATGACTCTGTGTGCCAGACATAAAACTGCCTGACAGAGTGCAACATTCAAGACCTTCCAAAACCACATGCTGATAATACATTCAAAACAGCTTTATTCTTCCCTGCCCACTACCCCAACTTCTTACACCCCCTGTGGTTTTTCTGAAACGACCCCTGTTTTCCTGTACCCTGGTCATTTTTGTTTCTTATTACCTGGGCATGCATGGCAGCAGGTGTCTTTGTTCCTGATTGGCGTCTGGCAGAGGGCTGGGGGGCACACTTCAGTGTCGCACAGGACACGTCCCTTCCTGCAGGTGCAGCGTGTGCACTCGTCCAGGTTCCAGGTCTCCCCTTCCACATAAAACTCTCCCCCGGGGGCTCTGCACACCACCATGTCCATCCCCTCTGGCTGACCACTGCCTGATTCTTCTAAAGGAAAATGATGAGAAATAAAGGAAATGATTATTCTTTTGTGCTTGGCTATTAAATTCTCATCATTTCGGCCAAAACAATAACAGTGCACTGTAAAAAACGATCTGAAGAGAGAAAACAGAGTCAAAGGTTACTAGAAAAAAGATGCATGGGAGACTACCATCCATTAAAAAAAGAACCCCTTGGGCAGAGTAGGGTGGTTTCCAAGTTGTGTTTTTACACTGGTTTAGTTCAAAACATCTTTCAGTCCAGCAGAGTAGCAGACATCTGCAAAGTGTTATCTTGTTGTCCCCTGACTGCAAAAAAGTGTGTAGCTTCTGAAAGTTGTAGACATTCTTTCACTCCTAAATACTTGAACAGCCAAATGAGTCACTCCGCCGTGCCTCCATGTGTGTGGATCAATGTGCCGTGTCTGTTTTAGAGAAACAGACACGGACTGTGTGTTTGGGAGTTCAAGTGGACAAAGAGTCTAAAACACTAGCTAATGACCCCGAGCACTCAGATGAATGAGCTGTGAGGGGACTGTATGATGTGTGTCGCCAGATGTGTGAGTGTGTGTGTGTTAGCTAGCTTGTAAATGGTAAATGGACTTGATCTTATGTAGCGCTTTCCTAGCCTTCCGACTACTCAAAGCGCTTTTACACTGCATGTCACACCTTTTCACACACTGATGGTAGTGATCGCTATGTAGTATCATTAATCAGAAGTAACTAATCCCATTCATACAGGGTTCAGGGTTAAGTGTCTTGTCCAAGGACACATCGGACATGTTGCCCAGTCCGAACCCTCGACCTTCCGGTTGAGAGGCGACGACTCTACCAACTGAGCCACAGCCACCTTTGAATTGTACTACTTTAAAACAAGTCACAGTGAGTTATTTCACTTCTATTAAAGCTGGCATAATGTATAAAACTACATGTGGAGTGGTGACCATTGAGTTAGTGCAACTTCAAATTTGTTTCAATTGATAAGAAAGATCCCAACTGTTCTTGCATTATTGGGAGTGTATGTCTTTTTACAGTGAGAATTATATTTCATATATTTATTCTGGGTGACTGATTCTTCAGGCGTCCTTTTGTAGATTTGCTCATTATGTTTATGCGTTATTGTAAATATTCTCATGTACTTTGGGCTCAACGGATGTAAATGCTGAGACCTGGAAACATTGCTGCAATGAAGTCATGAAATAAAAAGTTTTGTTTTGTAGGTCAAAGCTTGAACTAGGAAGTTGGTCAGTAATCAGTGATGGATGTTTCCAACAGACAGTAAACCAGGATTTCATCACTCCCCTTTACTATCACTATGAATAATTTTAAGCTAATGCAGAGGGTTCACTGAAAGCCACCCAACTGTGTGATTTGTTTTTATGCATATTGTCCTGCATTCCCAGATGTGAACAATTAACTTGCTAAGTAGAACAAAGTCATTATAACCAATGGAACTGAGGGGCAAAAGAACAAATTAAACAGACTAGTAACCAGGAACTATCCTGTAAAACCAGATTGAAATAGAGTCATGTTTCAAATGCAGACACATACCCTCACACGTAGGGCAACACTGCTCAGGCCTCACGACTGGATTAGAGCAGCTGGGCACAGGGCAGGATATGAGCACACACATCTCCCGTCCAGAGTGGCAGTAACAGTCGCGGCAGCCGTCGTGCCAGCCGTCACCTTCCTCGTATCGGTGCCCATTGGAGGTGAGACAATAATCGGGCATTGGTGCCAGGGCGGTGGTGTCCGGTTCGTGGCCACTTTCTAGAGACGCAAACATAAAAAGGCACAGACATTACTGAGGTGGTTAAGGGCTTGTGGAACTGCTGTGAAAAAAATCGACGGAGTCTCTGCAGACAAGGTTGTAAATTCACTGTGGAAATTTCATTAACATTTATGATTTACAGTTAAACGGGACAGTGTTATCATCTTGTGTCCAATTTCATTAGAGGCTGAAGTCAGAGCTTAGTGGTTATTTTTTCATATACTGGAACATTTAACCATCATGAATATCTGGTCCTTCTTTATGCATAATTAAGTTCTAATAGACCATTTTAATCCAGCAACAAACAAAGCTGAATACATTTCCCCACGATTTATGTCAACTAAAGTAGAAAACCTACATTTTGCAGCTGTGGGACACCGAGAGCTTATAAAAGGGAGAAAGTTGCCAGTAACTGGGTCCCAGCATGTGTTAAACTCAGCATGGCTGTTAAAAATACAGATCTACTTGGATCAGATAAAAGGGCGGACACAGTAAAACAGTACCAAGTTCATGCAGATGTTTGGATGTCTCTCTCTGTCATTAAAATCTTTAAAAACCATGCACAAAGTCCTTCCCAAAAAAAACTTTCTGTTCCCTAAATGTTCCTTAAGTCAACAAACTGACTGATAGAAGTGTTCAGGTCAGGTAAATAAGAGTGTATTTGCAGTAGGTACTGGTCTGTGCGTGACTGTACATGAAAACCAGAAGTGTATTTGAGTCTGATATATTTATAATTCAGCTAGCAGCCAAAGTCAACATATCACATAGAATGTTGTGGAGAATAAATATGGCATCTGTACACTTGCTTTATTTGTAGAGGCTGAGGGAATCTAAATAAGGCTGAGCCCTGAATAACACCACACAACAAGAAAATATAAAACTACTTATAAATTCTAACGCTAGCTGTTCTAAGATGTCGTTCGTAACATGTTAATACGTTGTCTTAACTCTAAATTCGCCAATAACCGTCCAGATTGTCACTTGCAACAGTATTTAAAGTGGGTGATCAATCATGAGGGGCTTAATGTCACCTTCTTAATTTGTGCTATTTGCAAACCTGGTACATAACATCCTGACTTTGAGGTCAAAGGACAATTGCATCCATACAAATATGGTAAACAAAAGTATTATTTAGTCAGACATACTGGTATCATTTTCATTTCAGAGTTGAGCTCCGTTACCTTTACACATGCAGATGGAGCAGCCTTTCTTGTTCTGTTGATAGCCGTCACTGCAGTGCTTGTCACAGGTGAAGGGAGGGCACTTGACACAGCGACACATTTCACAGCCATGCTTGTTCCTCCTGAAGGGTAAACAACACAAACATGATAAGCACCAACATATAAAGCACAGAGCACCAAAGAGAAGGAGACAAAGCATGCAGCAGACGCCTGTGCTAAATAAAAGTAGGGTTGTCGTCTTTGAACGTTTGATTCAAGATGGGATTAAGGAGAGAGTCTAAACCTAGTCTTGTATTCTTTATGTTTTAGCACTAATTAGCATACTGGTGTCTGCGCTCACCATGACTGGCTTGTAAACTTGTACAGTGTTTGTCACTGACTGTTCTATTTTTGTAGCCATTGCATTGTAGTCAGGATTGTTTGCTATTTACTGCAGAGAAGTCTGTGGGCAATAGTTCAGTGGTTAACCAGCCAGCGATTGAATTAGCCATGGGCTGAGACAGTTTAACTTTGATCAATTAGTGGTTGTCATCCTATCTAGCAGCGTCTTCCCTCAAATTATTGACACATATGGTAAGAGACAACCAATAGTGGCTAAGTCAATCATTTGTACAATGAATTCAAGTTATGGATAACTTTAAGACGAGCAGAGGTCCATGGAGCAAGCTGGTGTTTTGAAACCCATATGTTCAAGTGTAGTATAATCAACATCTGGACCTGCTTTCCTTCTCTCTGTACAAGCTTCCTTTCAAGAAGGGCCAAATAAAAGGCCAACACGTGAGATCCCCACGGTTTGCACATCATACCAACGCAAAGACTCTGGAAAGCACACTCTAAAGCCTATTCAGATGCTTCCAATTCACCCTGTTGCCATCCTTATTGCTCCAAATCCTTAAGAGGACATATAAGAGCACCAAAGTGTAGCAACAAGAGAGGCGCTATGGAGGCATGTTGATTTTAGAGTTTAGAAAATGAGAGTGAGGGAGGGGAGAACGGCAGCTGATGCACAGGTAGACTGATTTCTAAAATAATTGGCAATTCAGGTAAAATGAGCTGAAATAAAGCTTGAATCCAGTTTCCAGAACAAAGCATCTATAAATTGGTATTTTGACATACAAAGCTAGGCGAACAGTATAAATAGCTGAAGCTGCAAAGTCTGGACACAGCCCGGTTGGATGCATTTAACTCCCTAATAAAACATGGATGAGCTGCAGGTTGAGAAATCGCCAAACCCAGAAAGAAAGAGAGAAAAAAAGAATGACCTTTATCTTGTTCTAGCCTCTCTCTCCATCTCTCCCAGACAGTAAATGATGATACCTGTTTTATAATGCAGTTGCCTCATTAGGTTTGTGTAATTACTCTTATTAATCTTCATCTGCCATGGTAGCAGAAATAAAAAAAAAACAACAACTTCAAACCCACGGATGGGTGCTGTGTCCCATAAAGAGGACAGAGTATGTCAAGGCTCAGCAAACAGAGCACCCTATCTATGCTGAAGCAGCAATAACAGCGGGTGAAACAGCATAGCAAGGGCTTGGCCAGTGGCTCACTGTACAAATACAGAGACAGAGTGTGCTGTGACCTTAGAGCAAGGCTTTGTTTAAAGGTGGTGTGTGGAATGCCAAGCAGCGCTTTGGGCTCCAGGGGGATAGAGGGGCTTGGGGAGGCACTGGGGGCTGAGCCCTGGGACTGCTGGCTCTGCACAATTTCCAGTGCGCTGCAACTGTGATGGCCAGAGGGATGCCATTCATAATCTGTGAGGTCAAAATGATGATTTCAAGCTCTGAAGGATGGAAAACTTGACTTTTATAGTAAGAAATACCCCGAGCCTAACCTTCATCTGGACTGTTAACACAACAGAGAAATGTTCAACACAACGTTATGCATGTAGTTTAGGTTCACATTCACCCTGCTTTTGAGCCTGTCTTTCAGTTTTGGATATGCACATTACAGTAACACACAGGATGTCATCAATGCAACCAGTGTAAACACAGAGATCCTTTGTGCCTTTGTTTTGTTTTTTGTGGTGGCTGCATGCAGTGGCCTGATGTGAGAAGACAGATCTGCATTGTAAAACTGGCAAGCTCTCATTGGATTTGGAACATCTGAGGCTAGACCTTAACAGCTGCTTATGAGGGATAAAGACAGGACTTCCTGTTCCTCTCTTTTTTTCCACAGGGTCCCTATCATCCTCTATCCTCTACTCTTCTGTGCAGGCATATCAGGCCCATCTTGAGCTGTGGCTGCACAGGGCATGGTTAAGATACCAGAAGATCCCCCAGCTGTAAACGTTTTATGAAGGCCGCTTTTGTCCCGATGTGTTTTCTATCGTTGTTACGAGAAGGAATGATGATTTATGAAATGAGAGTTGTGCCTGGGGAGCAGGCGTCCCGGTAGAGAGCACTTCCAGATGTATGATTGGGTTAAATGGGATTGAGAGGAGAAGATCTGTGGTGGAAGTGAGAGGATAGTGAGGACTTCACAGTAAATTACCCACACACAAACATGCACACTTAAGATGTTTACAGACATGGGACTGACCAACAAGGATGGCCCTTTGATTTCAGGTGCTGAACCTCTGTTGCAATAACCTTTTCTGATTTCTCCTGAGCAAGACCAATCCATAGACTGAATATGATGGTCTCAGTAACAACCACTTGGGAGTGAAGCCTTCTGCTGACTGACTGTAATATATCAGAAACCCTGCCTCCACTATGTTAACAGATAGGACATGGGTCAAATTAGGAATTTCAATAATCTCGTCAAATAAATTTGTGTCAACCCCGGAGCCTGTCATGATAGTTATTCTCATGCTGATTTACATCCAAGTGTTCATTTTTCTCAGTATTTTTGTTTTAATTAGTTATTTCATTCAAAAAAATACAGAATGAAACATCACGATCAAGATCTCTATTGACAAAGCAACGTTCTCATCCAGATTATCAGGAATGATCATTATTTGCTTAGACTTCTTAATCGTAGGTGTATGTAAAAGCAAAATGTGTGGTTTCCTTACATGTACACGATTTGCACTCACAACCTCAAATGCCTTTAAACACAGTTGACAAATGAGCGCATGTAGACTGGAGGGAGGAGAAAAACAAGATTCTTCTAGGTTAACTTACACATATCCATAGGGGCAGGTCTTGGTGCAGGTCAAAGGTCGGCACTTGATCATGGGGATGCTGCACTCGCAAACCTCACAGCCAAAATCGTCCCTCTCATATCCCATCGGACATTGCAGGGAACAGTATTTTCCAAGGTCAGGGCAGGAGTCATCTGAGGGAGTAGAGGAAGAGGTCAATTGACGGCAGGCACAACAATCAATCAAAGGTAAAGGGCAAAGAGTTGCTGTGGGCCTTAGACAGGAACATTCTTGTGACAGAGAACCTCTCAAACTCTGTAGCCATGGACACAAAAAAGCTGCTGTGAATAGGTACATGTCTTTTCTTTTGCTGTTATAGTCTTAATGCTTAACTGTGAGAAGCAGCATATCAGAAAGAAAAGCATTCAATTCACAGTTATGTCAGCGGGTCCATGAAACTTCAACACTTCAGGTTCAGCATAAAGTGAGAAAGGTGGCCTTACTATTGAGACACTGGCAGAGCAGACATCCATTCTTGTCTTGATGGAAACCATAAGGGCAATCGGTGCCTGACAGGGAGCAGTTTTCCAGGGGAGGACATAGCATGGGGCTAACTGTTTCATAGGAAGGCTCTGAAAAAAAAAAAAAAAAAGGAAAACAATTGGCATCAGTATTCAGCGTACACAACAAACAAAAACAAGGAGCTCTCTTGTGAATTTGTCGCCATTTTTTCATATATGGGTTAAAAGACCCCTCAGGTGTAATACCTCCACGTTTTTTTTTGTGCCCAGTGTAATAGCCACCTATTTACACTGTTCTTATTTTGGAGTAAACAGTGATTACAGATAAATATAGAGCAATTACACCAGGGTGGGTCGCACTGTAAGGGGGAGCAGGCCTCTCCATCTTATTATGGGGAACTGTCTCCGTTAATAGGTTGAATGTGTGGAGCATGCTTTTAGCTCCATTATTGAAAATAATAGTGTCCCCTGGACTCAAGTGAGATGCCGACACTGTCCAGACCCTCTTGAATCAGGGCCAGCTTTATTGTTAGCCACATTAACACTTTTTGGGGAAAAACACAGTTATTATTCCCGTCAAACATCTCTTGCCACGTTCAGTGGGAGGAGCAGCCCAACGAGCTGTAACTAATTACACTCACACAAAAAAGAGATCCACTTCAATTATGCAGCGTCTTGTGTAAAAAGTACGGCTTCACACGCACAGGTGGGTCTCATTTTGGAGGGCAGCAGTAATAAAGAAACACAAAGAACCCTGCCGCTTGAAGAATGCTCCGTGGCCTCCTCTTTAATGAGCCCATGCCGACATGGCCTCTGTAAGCAAGGCTGCGGGGCCACAGGAGCCTCCTACATGTGGTATTCGGGCTAAAGTGTACCTCATAATGTATAAATCTATATTTTAGATGTCTTTTTAATTCAGTGACAAACTCCACATACCTTCACAGAAGGGACAGCACTCTCCTGGGATCTTGACCGGGTTTTGGCAGCTCTGTTTGCAGGCCATTGCCGTGCAGTGGGGGTCTCCATCCACACACTGGCAGAAGGTGCAGTCGTCCTCCTTCCACTGCTCCTCATGGGCTCGCAGCTTGTTATTCACCCAGCAACTAGCTTTAGTGCTGTCCATCGAGAGTAACTCAACATCTGTGAGGAAAGAAAGAGACGTGTTGAAGAATTAGGTGAGATGGAGGAGATCTGTTTGATCTGATTGGAAGCACATGTATAAGTCACATATATAGTTTGTATTGGCTACCATGGGTGGAATTTCAACCCAAGCAACCGAGCTGTGTGTCTTATACAACATCCTCTACTGTAATCGAATTAACAAGAGACAGAGTGAGAGCGGAGCTGAAGCAGGATACTCCATGAGGGAGATAACAAGATATGGAAACTGGCTCGTCACCGAGATCTATGGAGAAAATGATGTTGAATGTAGATGACCCACCTACATTTACAAAGGGGAGAGGCCCCTGGCTGTGTGACAATATCCACAGTATAGGGATTTACGTAGATATGAGACCTATGGGTTTGAGGGTATCATTGTTTCGTCCTGAGAGAGATGTGGTCATTGAAAACACAGCGGCGGTTATGACATTAAACTTGCCAGTCCCAACAGTGTCCACTTACCTTTTGGCTGAAAGCTCATCCATGTGAGTTTCAGCCATCCCCCCTGAGGTTAAAGGCTAGGTCAGTGTTTGATACCAATAAAGTGTTTGAAACCCTTTTAAACAATAGGATCTGTAGCTATTAGTCTGAAGTGGAACCATAAAGTTTGGGACGTTTTAAAAGTCAATCTAGAGTATTCTGCTCAGTATGGGGTGGTGTCTAGGGACTGAGGTAACTCAGAAAGCCCTTTTCATTTACAATAAACTATTTTAAGACATGTTTTTGTGGTATAAGCGGCATGTAAGAAGTTGGTTTCAGTGTTTTGTTCATTCTCTGTGTTGAAGTGTTTGGTGTGGCTTATCATATGTGTGTCAGTGGGTTAAGGGTGTTGTAGTTTTTGGAGAAGGTGTCCTATTTTCCCTATCTGATCAAAGCTGAGGGCTTGCTGCTGAGGTATCAATCGTCTGGCTGTGGTTAACCTGAATGCATCTTTCACTCTGTATTCTAGACTTGATAAGGTCTGTCCAAGATTTTAGCAACTCACTTCCGTGAAGCTGGAGAGAAAAAAAAAAAAAAGTGGTGGAAAGTTATGAAAAAAAAACCTGAGAACAAGCTCCCTTCCCAATACTGGTCAAGCTCCAAATACCCTAAGGACTACGTTTCTCAAAATGCAACATGAGACCTCCGTTTGTTTCCCACTGGTTTCAAGTGTTTGGTTTTCAAGGCCACCACAACATTGCACTTTAGACAATCTTTTATCAGGCTCAAATGATCTCAAATGAACAATGCTGTCAAGTTTTCACTTAAAAAAGGAAATCCAAACATGATGACTAACAGGTTACTTTCCATTATTTAGTCTGTTGCGTTTTGGCCTTCGAGACAAGATAAAGAAAGAGCATTGGTCTGTTATTAACTTGTACATTTGCAGCAAACATGGAGCAACATAAATATAATTTGGAATTTAGTTTTCTTGCTGCTTGTCATGCCTCATGTGTCTAATATTCACTTTCCTTTTAGGTCTGTTTTTGGTCTCAAGCAAGTCATGATCAAAACATATTTGGCTCTTTTGTTGTGTGTCTGATGTCTGGGGCTGAGTGGTTTGGCTATAGTATGTTGATCAAAGCCCTTTCACTTAAACCTGCTGCTGCTGTTGAGGGCATTGATGACATTGGTGAGAAAGAACAAAAGTAATGGACTGTAAAACCAAAACAATTAGCTGAAAGACACTAGAGCCCTCTGTGGAAGCGGGAGAAACCACAGAGTCTGGTAAGCATTACAAGCAATTCTTTTCTCATTAGAAGAGTGATTTGATCTAAAGGTAATAGAGAAATATTATAATCCAAACCAGGTAACCTTAAATGCATCTCTTAAACCAGATTAAGAGTGTTAAAGGAAATGTTCCCTTCAGTGAGCCATGCAGTAAGTAATAGCAGCTTTCCATAAGAAGAGGATGAAAGCATTCCATACCCTCTAAATGACTGCATATTCCAGGTGTACTTCCAGCATTAACCTAACATGATCCCTCTGCAGTCTTGTTCTTTTTCTTCTTCACTCCTTCTCTTGTGCCCAATCAACTCAAGCCAAGGAGGCAGAGGCCACCACTGGCTACCGTCTCCATCTACTGACTTTTGGCGGACTCCGATGTGGTTGCCATATGTGTTTGCAACCCCCCTTTTTTTTTAACTATCCCAAGAGCACATATCAGAGATCCCTACCTGGCTTTGAGCACGTGTTTTTTTTTTTTTTTTAGAGTGGGTCCCCCCCATTTAGCCGCAGCCAGATATAACAAAGCCAAGCTGAACACTTAAAAAGAGAGTTTTTATGTTCTTGAGTCTCCCCAGTGGAATCCATGGCTGGCTCTATAGTGTGCTTCTTGTATGCCAGGTATGTTAACAACAGTGGAAGCTGGTTTTATGAGGAAGCAATTAAATGAGGGTCACTGAAGGTAAGTGTCAAGCAAGGTGGATTTTGATACCAACTCTACCTCTCCTGCATTCACTTTCTAATCTGCCAGCTGGCCATACAGGCCCTCTCACCCAATGCCACATCACCACTCGCGCTCATCCCTTAAAAAAGTGTAGTTCTAAATCCTGATTTTGAATATTGTAATATTTTGCAAGAATTAACATTTATGTTGTCATTTTAACAAAATAGTAAGGATGCCTTGTGTACCTATGCAGACAGGGCAACACTCTCCCTCAGGAATGTAGAAGTTTTCACAGTCCAGCTCGGCGCACTCTGCCTTGGAGCAGAAAGAGATTCCTCCACGGCACTGACACAGCCAGCAGGGGTCCATGCGGTACACCTCTCCCTCGGAAAACTCCTTCCCATTGTGGACACACTTGGGGGAGACTATGGGGGAAAACAAGAAGATGAATCAGACGGTTGTGTTAATCCTCGAACCAAACACCATGTGGGGACAATAATGCTTAACACACTCTCGTGGGACCTGTCAGATGTCCATCACATTTGGCAAAGTCTAACAGGGGATTTTCTCCTCATGACTGAATGCAGTTTTGATCTTAAATGTCAAGCTCGATCAATGTCAGTCCTTCACAGCTGTATTCAATCCATTTTAGATTCATAAACTTTCATTCATTTTCATTATTGATGGAAATGTTGATCAAAACCTAAAGATGAAGGATTTACGCCGATGGCCTATGAGGCTGAATGGCATTCAACAGACAATGGAGCCAAGTCCATGACGAGGAATTTCACAGAGATCTTTAAAGTCTTGAAAAGGTATTGGACTCTTGCACTGCTCAGTAAAAGAAAAAAAGTCATGTTTCTGAAGCTTTGGCAGAACCTGGCCTCAGTGCTGGCTGCAGGTGGAGTGAATCAATGCCCTGGTCTGACTTCCCAAAACATCCAAGCACTTAGAACCTTTTTAGCTCTGGTTCCTTTGTTGTGAAACTAAATGAGCTTAGTTACAACACTGTTGGAAACCCTTGGTGTGGTCTTTTTTTGTTTGGACAACAGGCCCAGTTAAGCCAGAATATGTACGGGAAAAACTTGACCAACTAATTGCATTGTGTACTGTGTACACTGTGTGTGCGTGTTTGTGTGTGTGATTCCAAAAGAGAAAACCAAAATAAAACAGATGTGATTGATCAATTGGTAAAGCAGAATGTTGTATTTGATGCAACACTAAAATGACGCATGATGCACAGATGTAAAGCTCAATTAGACGTTCACATGAACCACGGTGGTTTGGGTGACTCAACATTGTAAGATCTCAACCAACCACACTGTAACCTATCATTCATCACATCCCAACATGATGGAAGTGAGGCAATGTGGTTATGTAAGAAAGTCTCCAAAGCTCAGAGTAGCGAGCAGCGAAACCATTTAAACAGGTAGGTGTATTGCATGTAAGCAGATGTTGGACCAGTTGTTTCAGTAAATGAGAGCAGTGGTTCAGCTGCATCTGTATGCCATACCTTTGAGTGCAGACTCAAAGTGTCTGCACAGCTGACCCCATGCCTCCCGAAAATAAGCTCTGCACTCTAATACAAAGCAGGTGGGCCAACTGAGTTGAAAGTAGATGGGGATTTGTTGATTTTTTTATTCTCTCCCGTGCCATCTTTCTCCTCTATTCCTTTCTGACTCTACCTCTCCCTCACACATTATTCCTGCCGTTCTGCTTTGCGTGCAGCAAAACCAAGCAGAGAAAATGCAATAAGCACTTTAGCTGGCCGAAATCAAAAGGCCCGGCAACGTTTTTTTAATGCTCACAGAAGCAATAGGAAGTCACATGAGGGGATGCTCACATGTGATTTCCGCAGTGTTTGTTAATGGTAATCCCTGAAACAACTTCCAGTACAGAGTCTAAATTCCAGTCATGTTTCTGATGTTCAGTCTTCTCCAAATTGAATTGAGGACTGGATGTGGAGATGGATGGGCCATATAACAAGGAGTTTAAGCCTGTCTAAATCATCCATAATGGCTGTCTTCCTGCTGCTTCTTGTGGTTTAAAGGCTAATAAAGTAACAACCCACGAAGAAAAGCATGATTTGTCAAGAGTGCTGATGATTGATTCAAATCATAATTTCAATGATACTTTTGATCAATCTGGGATAACAAATAGCAAACAAATCATATGAGCTTGACTTTACTTCAACAAAACAACCACTGATCATCCGCCTCCAAGGCTATGGTTATTGTGTGTTTACAAAAACCTTAAACTGAGCTCCCTGAGAACCAAATAAAAAAAATCTGCATTCACAGTCGACGGATTGGATGTTTGTAAAATTTGCTTCAGCTAAAGTGTTGATAAAGAGCTGGCTACAGCTAAACAGAATCAAGTTAATCTGTTGTATCAGATGACATTAGGTTTGGTCAATGCTGCCAGGTTTGGCCTCAACTCAGATACAACCAAGAGTGGAAAAAGCTATAGTTAATGGAGGCCAAAACACACAGGTGGGATTCATTGTCATTGCACACACTGACCCTGACTTAATGTGAGCCATCAGCCAAGAGGGCAATGGAAACAAGTTAATCAGGCCAAGCCTGACACAGACACAAAAAGACAATGGGGGGCCATGCAAGGGTGTTCCATTATGGAATATGTATGCTATTTGGAAGTTACTTCAACTGTATATGTATAGGATACAGTATTTGTAGCCAAAGCTTTAGGGGCCTCTGCAGGACGGTGGAGGAAACGAGGGGCCTCTGCTGGAGGGGGGAGGTGATGAGGGTGTGAGTGTCCTTGTCCATGTCTCTGTACAGCTTTCTGACACGGTGCGCAGTCATGCAAGGCCTAACGGACGGTAGGGGCAGCACAAAAGGCATCAAGCCCTGGGCCCAAAGAGCAGCAGACACTTGTTATCAAAACACTGATCCCATGGCCCCCATGGCTGCCATTCAGCCCCCGCCGGCCTGCCGGACTTGATTACCCTCCCCACTGGCAGACAGGAGCACATAAAAAGCATTCCCATCAATGAACTGTTGAACCTTTTCCCTTCGGACGTGTGACCAGACAGGAACCCTTTGACACTGCACTTCTGTTGAGCAAATTCGTAGCCTAAGCACTTTTCTGGTCACTGGGCTCGTTAAGTCCATTAATTCCAGGACAGGGCACACATTTATGCATGTGGAGGGGCCAGAATGGGAATTTGTTCTGTTGGTAAAACAGCAAATATTTGATGGGAGCGCAGAGCAAACAGACCAATACCACAGGTCCCCTTGCTGCCTTCCTCACTCTCCTGGCTGCCTTTGGGCCATGTCAGAGAGCGCTGATGTCTTTTTATATGTATTTATATATAATGGGACATCTGCTCTGTTTCTCACTTTTACCCTGTTTTTCATCTGTCTCTTTCACAGCAAGTGAGAAAACCGTAATCGAGCAATCAACTTTAAGGACCAATAACAATTCATATCTCTTCAGGCAATATAATTATTTGTGGAAACACCCCTGAAAAAAATGTCTTTGAACCATGGTCTTAACCCTGGGAGGCATCAGCTTAGACCGATAAACAGTCCAACAGTAATTATCCAATCAGCAACTTTTCTTTTCATGTGTGGACATTTGGTCAGCAGGGAAGAAAGCCTCATTCTGAGGAAAATAATTGCTTCCTTAGAGGCGAAGAATCTCACACAAACTGTGCCATTGCTACCCCCAGCAGGGGGGCAATCGAAACGGATCGTGCAGTGCGGGGCTCAAAGAAATCACCTTTCTGGCACTCAAAGACATCACAGCAGTCCCCTGGCTGACCGCTGGCCTGGCTGATTGGCACAGTGCGTTGTCCGCTCGGGCACTGGGGCTTGTGGCAGGCATGCAGGTCACAAGTGCACTGGGGTGGTATGGAGGGGCAGCAACCAGTAGGGGTCGTGTAACTCTTGGTCAGAACAGAACCATTTGGGCAGGACGGCACCTGAAGGGTGGGACATGTCACTCCGGCACACCTCAGCTCCTCTGAAACATACAGACATGTACCAATGTCACTTTTTAATACAGGAGGGTGTAGCATAAAGAAGTATATGAAAACATGTGGCACTTTTAAATTTTGAGTAAAATACTGCAAAATCACATTAAATGCTCTTGGCTCTGATAGTGTCCTCACTGTTCTGCTATAGACAGGAGGGATTTTTTTATGCACTTTGTTTTTGTGTTTGTGTCAGTAGCCTTTTCTGATTGCAATTTTGCAATAATGCCATAATAAAGCTCCGCCGTCATTACGCCTTTGTAGTTACACATTACATCTGAAATGGCATAATATTAGTGTCTAGCATTATAGTGTTGCAGAAGCCCTAGAGGCATGGCGTTTGTGTACATACAGTGTGAGCGTCACATACACACACACTCAGACATGCACACACACACACACACAAAGTGCATGATCTGCCCTCCTGGCTCCATCATTACACTTTGACACTATCTTCCCCCATTCCGTCTCTGTTTCTACCTCTGAGGACTGATCAGGGGCAGAACAATGTAGCCCCACTATTTTGCCTCAATACATTACACATTGCAGATGAGGTGCAACAGGGGCGTACATAAGCCACCTTGAACTGGCAGTATGTAAGAGCCAAGTGTGTGTATGTGTTTGAGGGCAGCATCCCTGTCGTGTCAGTTGAGCCACTTAAGCGCAGCACTACTCATGTTACACTCTCAAAGCTGAGTTCACACAGTTACCCAACACAAACTCCATGCACAGTCATCAGATCCCTACTTCAGTCCATGACAGCTCACCGCGTCCTGTAAGAGGAACGCAACTAGCACTGTATACACAACAAGCCTCTCTGCATATTCTTTAGGTCTCTGATCCCACCCAACCTGGCTCGAGAAACTCACAATCCAAACGTCCCTCTTACTGTAAAACCAGTCATTAATGCCAGTCAAACATTCACAGAGCTGCAGAGCTTTCTTCTCAGTTCAGAGTCTTCCCCTCACTTTGCATACCAGGATGTATTTGTCTTTTCATTCGCGGGAGCCAACATAATAGCTCTGATACCCTTCGTTAGATTGGGAAGAGGTGCGGAGGTACTGGAAATCTGGGTAAGGGGCTCAGGGGTGTATTTTGGAGCACGTTCAGGAAAAGGAAAGTGGAGCGCCCCTCTGTACAGACATTGTATGAGAACAGTAGCTACCTTTCATAGATTGGATTACCAAACCAAAGAGATGTGTTTATTTTGGTTCTCAGAGTCACTGTAATCCATACAGTGCAGGCAGAACATTGGGATTGGGGTGGGCAGGCTCAAGTCCTGTCCTATAATTGTCAATCTCAAAGTCATTTTCAACATCCCCTACTGAAAGCACATACAATACACACTCTGTGACTCTTTGAGAGCTGAGAGGAAGAGTGGAAAGGCAGTAATAACCAGCATGGAGATTATGGATGAGAAAGAGGCAAAACTGGTAATTGTACATGTAGTTTAAATCATCATTGACATTAAAAGCCAAAATGTGCAAACAAACGACTTCCTCACAAGAGAGTGAAATTAAACGGACTGTGATTTAAAGGTCCGGGATTCTTGACAATCCTTGCATACATATGGTTTTTGAGGAGAGGGACGGATACAGACTGAGGTTGCGTAACATTGGTTGAGGTTTTAGTAGCGTATCCAGAAGCTGACTTTTGTTGATGGTCTTCCCAGACCAGTGCTGGCTCCAGTTGCTCAGAGGATATGCCTCATCCCTGATATTTGAAGACATGTAAGTAGATCCCTCAGGGCTTTGCCACAAGGTGTTGAAACTGAAATGGGGTCCAGTTCCTCATCAACACGTCTGATACCCTGATAATGGTTCTGCTCTGACCGTCCTGGACTCCAGAGCCACACTTCTGAACTGAACCGTGTAATCTTTACCATTCCAGCCGTACTCTCTGATCTGATGCTCTGCTGGCATTGCATTCAAGTAGCTGTGTGATGTCTATCTGACTTAGAATAAACATGGAGGACAGGGGCTGTAAGACTGTGACTGTTGTAGTTTGGTGGGTGGGGATAAGATTTCTGACAGATGAAATTGAGGATAAGGGAAACGTTACATTTTTCTGGCTCCAGATAAATAGTGCAGGAGTGGGAAGTATCTGTACTGTACTGTTTACTCTAGCAACCTGGGAACAGTGAGAACTGCACAAGGCTCTCATTGATAAACTTTGTAGCTGAATGGTGTCATAGAAAATGAGGGGAAAACCCCTGAATTAAGGGAGGCTACAACCCTTTTAACGGTTTTTGGCCTCATTACTTTGCTGCAGTTTCAGTTGGACGCTCTGATTGGCGTATGTGTAACTTCCATTAAAGTCTGACGCAGTCTGCTGCTGCTCATTTGAAGACTCGTTTTGCATATGAAAACCTAACACTGTTTAAAGCCATAGAAAATACCCTGGGACGACCTTGCACAACGTTCTGCACTGAAAAACCCTTTTTTTCTGTGTATTGTATGTTTCCCAGAGAAGGCTGATTACTCTTTCAATAGTGATAATGGCAAGGGTTTGAGTGGGCTGGGAAAGCAGCTGGCAGACATACCATTGTCATTCAAATGATTTGAATTGCATCCATTTGGTCCAACCCTTGCAACTCCAATTAATATAATTTTCCAGCCGACGCATTTATAAGCACAATAGGCACACCGAGTGGATGGAAAAAGTCAGCAACAAATAGATTTTATCCTGTTTGTGTCCTATCTCTGAGTATAAATGGCTATAATTAGTGAGTCAGCAACCACTGAACCAATCTTCACATTACAATGGTGGCCATATTCCAGCCTGCACAAAAGGCCTGATTTGGTATGCTTGATAAATTTTCTTTGCAGATTAGAAATCATGTGCTCCTGTGGAACTATAAGATAGCAAAGAATATAAAAACATTTGACCTTAATGTACAACCTGCAACAGTGTAAAGTCACAGACACACACACACACACACACACACACACACCTGACGTTGGATTGAAAGAGGTGGGATACGGAAATTGCTTCATTACCACAGAATGGCCTCTTTTGCAAACAAAGCATTTTTCTGGCATCTCAGCAGCTCATTGAAGAAAGAAAAACACCTCCTATCGAAATGAGGTTTTTTTCATCTCTTTAGGTACAAGAAGCACAGTCTTTCCCGATCCAGAGCAGCTCGTCGAGGCAGAGGAGGCTGTGTTGACAGCCCGAGTTTACTCATGGAAAAAGCACACAATGTGAGTTCTGTTCACCGACTGACTTTGGAAGCAAGTCAGATGAGAACAAAGCTGTCTCAGTCCAGCTGCCCTCTGCGGGTTTCTGGTCCGTCCTCAGGTTTTATAAAGTTGCTCCGCAAAGGGACGCATCAGTGCCGTGTCTCACGTAAAGCTGTGGGGGCCTGGCCCATTGCCCACCAGCAGTTACAGCTGAGAAAGTCAGCATTGTTCGCCAAGTGTTTCAGCATGTGCAAGACTGTGGAGCAGGTCTGGGAGGGGGTCCAGGCCAAAAGGCACAGACAGGGTCACTCATTGAGAAATTCACACTATGGTCAGAAGCTTGAGGTAGTTGGGCGTAGGCATGCAGTCGGCAGGCCTGCATCGGCTGCCTGCGGGCCTTGCTCTTTGGCTAAATATTTGTAGATGAAAAACGTGATTTTAGTGTCCTGAGTAACGCCGCTGCAGCTGTGAATGAGCATGTTTGGGTTAGGTCATGAGAGTGACCACATAAAGGTGTACATTTGTACAAAGAGTTTTCATGTTTGAGTGTGTACATAGCAAGTGTACAAAGCATCTAAGCATTCCACTGAAACACACCCTTTTCTTGCTGTCAGATGGCCAATAAGATAAGGCCTTTGACAGAGTGCATAAGGGACTTCTATCTGGCTTAAGGGCCCGTCCCTCAGCCAGAGATCAAACCATGCATGGGCTGTTGTTACATCTGGCACAAAATGCAAATAAAAGTGGTAACATGCCGGCTCTGGGGTACTGTGCAATGTGCATACAGCACTGGAAGAAAAACATTGAACTTTTGTTGCGTGCACTGTCACTCAGAGGACACTATAAATCAAACACAGCCCTTATGTAATACATGTAGAAACAAGTCTGTGGAAGACATTAGGTCTACATAACTGATGACGATACTGTGGAAGAGGCAGTTTAGTAACATATGGTTTTTGGCCATATAAATTTGTTCCCTTTCAACGAGAAGGTAATAGAATGGAAGATGGTAGGCAAAGTTAGACTGTTAACAAGAAGATTCAACTTAATCTGCATTCAGGCTGTCTTTGATTTGATAACAGTCATGGCTACCGTAGGTGAAGAGCAGAGGTTTGTGTGTGCGTGTGTGTGTGTTTGTGTGTGTCTAGGCTTTCCCTGCTGTCCGGTTTGGTCAGCGGCTGACCAGGAGTAGCGGTCTGAGGTTGAGAGCAATCCCAGCATGCCTGAAAGGGAAGTTCTTTGTCTCAATCACCACACAAGAGTTCTGTTTCCTCTTTCAAATCACAACCCACTCTTGTATAAAATACGCCCACACTGGGAAACGAGCAGCTTGCAGGGTACATCAGGGCAATAGAGCCACTGAGACGTCTCACGCCCCCGCCAGCGAGCAGCAGTCTGGCTCAGCCAGTAATAGCTCTGCAACAAAGAGGCTGCAGCCGAGCAGAACTAACAGTCCTTTCACAGGCGCAGATTGTAGCACGACAAGGGTGGCATAGGTGGGTAGATTTGTGGAAGCAAGGTCAGTTTGTGTCATGGCCTTATAGTGGGCACTGCTCCCCATAATGTGAATTTCCACATACCTTTGAGGGACAATTTTCACCATGTTCTATCCAAATAGTCAGCAGGAATTAGAGTTTATTCAATACTGATACTGGTACCAGAACAAATATTGCCTTAAATGCCATATCAACGAGTTTGCCAGTCAATGTACTGATCTGAAACCATAATCATCTAACCCAAAAAATCAACAGGTGTCAGGTAAATGATCCTGTGACAGTAACAAAACAAGCTACTACATGTCAATAATGATTTTTTTCCTACCAATATTATATGCTATACTTTTTGATCACACTGGTATCTGGTATCAGAGGGGTATAAGGTATAAGAATTGGTATTGGGAAAGAAAAGAATGTTTTGGAACATCTCTTTGAAGAAACAAAACGATACACTGGCACCCACAAATAAGGTAGTCCTCTTTATAACTGAACTTAATTATTTATAACAAGGGCAACACTGATTTTTAAGTGGGGCACCCAATTTACCTATTAAGTTACAAGGCACTGCAAGCTACTATTTTTCACATTATCCCAAATAACGGTCCAAGAGTAAGAAGGAAACTTGACATATTTCATTTTCAAAGTTTCACATTCACTGAGCCGATGTTAGTATTAAGTGATGCCATGTGTATGAATCACCTAAACACTTTCAAAATCCAGAGTGCTGTTGCCTGTTCCTGTCAGTGAGCTACAGCAGGGGAATTCCTCCGAAATAGCAGTTAGGGGGCCTTATCGTGAATTAAGTATTTAACCATCCTATTCTGTAAAATGGCCCAACACCAAACTACCACAACCGCAGAGCTGTACTTGACACAAATACCTCAACAAAATGATTGGTCTAAGTTGTGATTTCCTATCTTCCTGTGTCTGGCTTCCCCCCTCCCTCTCCTACACTTATCACATCCTCTTTTCCTGCATAACGGGAATGTGTCTGGAATTTGCCTCTTGCTTGAACCTTCGCAGTGTCTCGTCAACCAGTAATTAATAATATCGCACTGAAACAACAAAATGAGGCAACATTAACACCAACTGTGACACAGCAAAAAAATATGTTGAGTTTTTTTGAAGACATCACAGTGAATCACAGCAGAGGGATAAACCAACACTGTCACTGAGTGAGTCAGAAAGAAAGTGAAGGGCAAACCATTACCATGCGTGAGCTCACAGGTCGCAAGAAGAGGATCTATTTTCTGAGTGATGTCTTGAAAGGTTTTCACCAAGTGTCTGCTTTAATGCATGTGAAGACAAGTGTGATCATAACGCTTTCATTCCTTTGGATGCAGGTTTACAGGATCCATTTGCCGTCACACACTAGCAGGGCATGCTAACACACATCTTAATAACTGTTTGTTTCTAAAGACAACAAGGGGTTGATGGAAGCCGTCACTATAAGATCCTAAGCACAGAGTCCCAGTCTGCTTGCAGAGGAAGCTCTTGCTGGTGACAGACAAAGGAAATTCTCCGCCGAGACATCTACACAAACAAGATAATTATCACACACAGACGCACACACAAAACAAGGATGTAGACATGCACACTCAGATTCCCATATATATACAGTATAGATAAGTTTATCACACACACGGGATTCAGTGCATAAACACAAGTAAACATAAGCATGTGTGCATCTTTCCACAGTCACATGCATTCTTACAAACACACACACACACACACACACACACACACACACACACACACATCCTGGGTTCTTACTTAATGAGGGGGCATCAGAGGGGTGGGTGTGTGTGTTGCAGTGAGAACTCATAAGCTGCTGAAAAATGTTGTTTACAGTTTTCGCTTGTGTTAGTTTAAACTGTCATCTGTTGGGCTCGGGCTTTGAGGTGAGGAAGTTACAAAACAGAGAAAAGACTAACAGTAGATCTTTCATTGTGGCACTAGTGACTTCAACAATGGAGCCTTAAAAAAAACATGTTTGATGACCAGTGAAGAAGAAGATCGGCACGCACACTTGATCAAATTTTGCACTGCCCCGCACCTACGTGATGTGCGTATAACTACCTCCTTTTTCTGTGATGAACCGTAAACACAATTTCTCTGAGATTCACTGAGGACTTGAGACAAGCTTTCATCCAGATTTATCTTCCATAACAACATCTGTGTTATTTGCAGCGAGAAATAATCTCAAACATGTATGGCTTGTTCCCAGCAATGTGGTGTTGTACATCTAAAAAGCTGTAAACATATTGCAAAGACAGGGAGAACTTGAATATCAAAGAAGGCAACATGTGGCTTGAGATGCGTGCAGTCACAGTCACATGCTTCTGATTTAATCAGTTCACTCCAGCTCTTAAGCACGATTCTTTAGGTTTTTCCGTCAGGTTTTTCTCATTGTATGGCTTTGAAAAGCTTGTCCAGTTAGATGACGTTTGCCAAGCATAGACAAAGTTCATTGAGTTCACTCCTGTCCTGTTTGGAAAATGTCACTCAGGAGGCAGCCACCACTTAGCGCTTGTCTATCCAAGAGACACCTCACAGTTCAAGTGAGGAACCAAAACTTCACTGTGCCAGTTGCAGTTTTCACTAAGATGTGTCAATCAGCGAGGCTGCTAAGAGTGGAAGTAAACACGCATTCTTGAATGGGCTCACATACTTCAAGGGATTCTATTTTTTTATCCCCCACACAGGGGAAGCATTCATCTTACACTCTTTAAGGATTTTGTCCTGTGCCTGAGGATCTCCAACACTCCATATTTCAATCACCAGTCTCCTAGCAACTCAATCTCTTGTGATGGAGACTTTTCTTTTTTGCTTTCCGTCAGTCTGACTCACACCTTCTTTCTTTTAACATATTCTTGTTTTCTTTCCATCTGTTTCTTCCTCTCCTCCTCAAAGCCCTGCTCCTTTGCTATCCCCACTCACTGAATGTTATCAAAGTGTCATGTACTTAGCTATGCCTGTTAGGCTTTCACAGGTGGTATATGACTGTTTAATGACAAGTAACTCCACCTAAATAATTATCTAAATTGGTACAAAATACTTATTTTAACAACTCAGACACAATTATGAACTGCCAATCTATTTGCTTAAACAACTAGATTTGTTGGCTGTTTCAAAATCAATATCTGCTACACGTACCTCCCTAGCAGTCTGTTTTTACCGGGAACATTTGTACTAATTATGAGGGAAATCTATCTATTAAAAAATAGAATTGCTTGAACATTTAATGAGCTGACATAAGCATTCTGTGGCCGACTCAAGAGTTGATTTGCACAAGAGAACGTTGATAACTTAAGCTCTGGCACACTTAAATTCTCCATAGATCGTTATCAAAAGTGTCTTTATAAAGCCTTTATCTGAACACTAAATGACTAGAACCGACTAAAGCCACAGTCGGCTGCCGTGTGGATTGTCTGTTCCATTTGCGGTCATATGAAGGTTACCTGCAGCTTCCTGGCACTGGCTTCGGTTGATGTAGGCAAAGTGGTGGTGGCAGCTCTGAGACTCACACACACAGCCCTCGGCGGTCAGGTTACACCCGGAAAACATGCAGGCTGGGTTGGACGGTCCCACATACTTCTCTCTGTGTCTGTCCCGATGCTCATGCCTGCGACCCTCTGAAATCCAGCCATGGACACACACACACACACACACACACACACACACACAAACCACAGTCATCAATGAGTCACAGACAATGGCACCACTCAAGGGTGAGCTGGGACCAACTTGACAAAGGCCTCAGCATGTGTGTCATCACTATGATATGTAAGTAGCATTAGTCACCTCAGTGCCACATCTGTTATGGATTAGCTTCTCTCAATGGACAGCATTATTCCCTTTGAGTCGGATTCTGAGTATGCATCTGTGTTTCAACATAAGTGAAGTGTGTAATAGAAAGAGATGGTTTACCTGATTTGCTGGCCTTCATGCAGGTGTCTTGGTCTGGATAAGTGAAAGAGCCTAAGCAGGAGTGACGGGCATCGCACACACACGAACCTCCAGCTCGGTTGCAGCCTGTCATCAGGGGGCAGCGCGCGTCCTCCAGGCCGGCCTCTGGATGATCTGGGAGCACTATAGTGAAAAATTAGGACGGGATAAGAAAGTGAACTTTTAATGTGTCACCAATTTGAACCATTTGTACTGGGAATAAAAAGACATTTGCTGGAGTTACAGATACAGCGTGAGTGTAATCACAAGCCCAAATGTGCCAGTAACCTAGATTTGTTTCCCAAAAGTGTATTGAGGTTAGCCAGCCTAATGTGTTGCAACACATCGCCCTGGCACCCACATTACTGAAGTGTCCAGTATATTTCTGGGCTGCCGTCCCTCCTCCCTCCTTATCCTGCCACGCTACTTCAGCCATTGAGCCCATTTGTTTGCTTTTGTTCCACAGCATGGGGCCCTCCCAGGGCTTCAATCTCTGCTGGCTGCTGGAACGCCTCTTCTGTACCAAGGCCATTTGCATCATACCCACATATTGTTCCTTCTTCACCCATCAAGGCCTATACCCCCTCAGATGGCACCTTTGGGCCTATTTCAACTTGGATGAAACCTCACGATGGGAAGGAATGTGTCCAGTTAGTGCCATGTTGAATAAGCAGCAGAACGCTGGAATTAAAGGGCCTCAACATACACATGGCCCATAGTGTTCCTTTCACTTGCAAGTATGAATAAACACATGAATATACCCCCAAATTAGCCGTCTTCACAGTCGTCCAATTTGCTTAGAGTGGCGACAGAGTAAACAGGATGCGACACACAGAGTAACCTCTTCTTAATTATGTAGATCTGTGGTGTCAATCAACAATTTGGAAGAGTGATTGGAGCTCATCATAATACTCTATTTTTCTTCTCCATAAGCTACACAGCAAGATAATTATCAAACAGAAAGGTGAAAATGTTCAATATTTCACAGTACATTTCCCTGCCTACCGTCGAGATATAGTAGACAGGCCGACTCTTTAGTGATGGATGACTGTTAGAAACACTACAATGAACACCAGCCAATGGAAGAGGTGAAGGTCCTGTTAATAGCTCTCCCAGACGGCAGAGGCTGGCAAAGTACAAGACGCCTTTTCAATAAAGCAGACCGACATTTTCCCTGTGATTTCCTTTCACCTAAAAATGATCCTCAACTTCACATTTTTTCCGACCCGTGGCTTTCCTGCGCTTGGGAGGGTGTTTTCATTTGAGGTGGTGGTGGCAGGGGTGCCTGTCTGTGTGGGGGCGCTAAATCTGGCATTAAGGAAAAGGGTTAGAAGTCAAAACTATTAACAAAAGGGTCAACACTAAATATTTTCTTGTTAGTTTATTTTTGCTTGACCCCAGTCAGCTTGTTCCCCTACAAGCTGCTCTGCTTTAACCCAGACCCCTTTTAGCATGACCCTGGTCTGGTCCAGTCATACTATCTATTATCTTCCCTGGCATGACTCTAGCCAAAGTCTATGGATTCATCCCAGGGGATTCCTCTGTCAGCTACTGAGACTGCTTGTCTTGGCATCCAGAGCCAGGATGGGAAAGCTGACCTCTAGAGGCCCTCTGGCTGATAGCGAGCTAAAAAGGAAGTCTTTGAAACATTAGATAATACCAGAGGAAGGGAGAAGTAGAAGGCATGTGAAAGAGTGCAGTGGACATTACGTCCCTGTATGACTGACATTCTGTTACGTGGTATGTTAAGTGCCTCAAGAGCTTGGGGAAAGTTGAAGTGGGAGGACGGACGCAGGAAAACAATGGAAACAACAAGACAAGTAATTTAGCTGCAAGGACGGAATGATTTCATGTGACTGACAGATCACTGAGCAAATATGACAAAGTTTAAGGACACAGATGACTTTTCCCTAGAGCAGGTGCCTGTATACTTAAAAGACAAAAGGTAGACTTAAAAATGCAACATGAGGCTGTTACGTTTGATTCCCTTTTATAGATATATTTTAGCAAGCTTTAATGTCTTACAGCTGAATTCCTCCATTAGAATAACTCAATCTAATATCCCAGGAAGGGATACACTGATACCATCTTTCTAGATTCCAAGTACTGATCCCAATACTTTGACTTGAGTATTGGCACATACTGAATACCCCTCCAATACCAGTTTAAAAAAAACCTTAAAGGACTCTTGTAGTAACCAAACATGAGGTGGATTGAATGAACACCCGAGCAGGAGTTTATCAGGAGACTGTTGGAATTAGACAACAACGGACTATTATTTTTTAAGTCTCAGGGTGCCGGATCTGCCTACCAAATTTCATTTATCTAGTCATAACTTGGTTGGGGGGCGGAATTTCTTAAAATATTGTAGGGAGCACTATTTCAACAAACATGTCAAAATGAATAATAAGGATAATCCTTGGTGCCCGGCCCTCATTATTGGTGGCAAATCAGTGCTTGCTAGAATGGACTAACATTACACTTTTCTCTATTACTTGACTTTTATTGTTTGTAATTGTCACATGAGCTTCTTTCAGAAACCAGTCATGTCTTTGGAGGAACAATCAATTATGGTATCCAGTACGTGCATTTATTGGTAAATTCACAGGTACCTATAATACTACATTATTTTGAACTGTACTGGAGGCCAATAATGATACAATGGTATTGTTATCAGAACAACTCTAAACCCAGATGTTGTGTTTAAAAAGCTAGAACCAGTGCTTGGGTTCATACAATTAGTTTGGTCATTACAGCTCTACAGTGAGATGTCATAGCAACAAAGCCTGGATTTAAACAATTACCCTGTTATGTAACATTTCCAGGTCAAAAGTTGGTGTAATGACAGCCATTCCAGCTTTTTCAATCCTTTCAACACCAACAGACTGTACTGGGTAATGACACATTACCTCTCATATAAAATGCAATATGTCAACCAAGGTTGTTGCTTCTCTCTCCACATTAACAAATTATGACCACCCAGAAAAACCAAACTATGAAGAGAGAAGCAGGGGGATCAGAAAGCGGAAACATTTACCCCCTACTCCTGATTGCAAGTCTAATCACTTTAAGACCCTTGCAGCTTGGGGAGGGAAATCTGGGATCAGCCTCCAGCAGCCTGACTACTGTGGCCCCTGAAAACACACTGGGAGGTGTTGATTTACCCCCACCTAGGCCCTCTGGGATATTGAGCTTTGTGTGTGTACGAGTGTCTGATTTAGGGGTCAGCGGCGTACTCTGAGGTCTCTGGAGCCACAGAAGTGGAGGCACGACTCAATCAGAGGAGCCATTAGGTCTCCTGCTTGTTCCAAAGCTGTTAATTTGCAGAGATGTCCTCCAGACGCCAGTTAAACTCGTACCTGAGGCACAATCAGTCGTAGCAGAAGCGTCTCCTGGGATGGCCTGGAGGCCTGAGACCCCTGGAAAACCCTCATGCAGCCCTGACTTGGACCACCCCACAGAAGGACAGAGCAGGGTCAGGGGATCCAGACACCCACTGAGAGCTGCTTATGCTTTGCTACAGTCATGTCAGTCCCTTTCAATCATCCAGAAACAGCCTGGAGACAGTGCAGGTGGAAAGGCTGGGAGGTCCTCAAGGCGGTTATTTGTTCCTCAGGGGACACCGTTGCTTCTTACTTCATTCACTGTGAGGAACCTGACACCCTTAACATTTCTTTGAGGTTCTAAAAGTTGCTCAAATTGTGCGTAAAATGAGCAAAATGCTGGCACAACAGCCCAGCTCTGCTTTGGCAGAAACAGAACAGTGCAGCACTGTGCAGCAAATTCAAAACTGAAAATCTGCAGGGGACTTTTGCAATCGTGCTGTCAAACTATTACGTATGAGTTACACACTTGAAGCACAGGGTGTAAACAACACTGACAAGTAAGGAAAGCATATTTATTATATTAAAGCGTGGTCCAAGTTCAAAACACAATCACCATTGTTGTCACGCCATGGTTGGTGCACAACTTTGCCCTCCTACAGATTCAAATTGTCATTTTTTTTGTCATCTCCTCCCATGTCTCTTTCAGATAAATGTGCCTTTAAGATTGTAAAGCAAACAGCACAGAGCCATCTAAAATCTGAAGAGTACTCTGGTGCCACATCACTGCTGCCAAACGCATTGTCATGCCTCCCAGCTCAGAGTGAATGAAGCTTTGAGGAAAAGAAAGAGCATCTGAACATGACTCCTCTCCTGGCAGTCAAGAGCCCCTCAGACCTGGGGTTGCTGCAGCAGGCAGCCAGAGACAAGGTAAACACTGACACAGTCACTTCTTCACTCAGAACTTAACTGACGTTTCAATAGCCATACCCTCAGGCCACTTCAAGAAAGTGGAGGGGGTGAAAAGACCTGACACCTCTGCAGTTCTTTTATTAGACTGTTAAACAACTCAAGAACAGCATATTTTATATCTAAGTGACTGTACTCTGATTTCATTTCAGTAGAGTACCCACCTTTACACACTCCAATTTCAGGGATTGTAGCTGCTCCAGTCTTGTTGACAGACGCGCAGGTCAGCCCCAGAGCGCAGTAGCCGTGCGCCCAGTCCTGTCCGCCGCAGGTCTCCCACTCCAGACGAGTACACTGGTCACAGCACCCGCACGGATCCCTAGCCAAGGTCCGGCCACTCTCGCAGGCGTGCGGGGCTTTGACGGGACATGCCCGGAGGTTACACGGCGTGCACTCGTGCGCCGAGAGTGCCCGTACCAGAAACAGGACATTCAATAACACAACGGAGCACTTGCTGAACATGTTTCTGGACAGGTCTGTAATTTTTTTTTTTTTTTTTTTACAGATTAAAAGTCAGCTTTTGTCAAATAAATAAATATAACATGAACTATCCGCGTTGTAGCCAACACTGTAAATGATGTTACTCCAAAAGTTCCAGAAGTCTTCTTTAAAGTTTTTGGAAAAGTCTCCCCTCAGGCGCGCAGTTCATTACACAGCAGCCCACTTCAGAAGTCGAAAAATACGCACGAGACTGAAGTGTGCGAATGCGTTTCAAGTGGCAGCAATATCCAAAGGCGAAAAAGGGTTGAATGTGAGCAGGTAGCCAGGCACGTCTCAAGCGTCTCATGTGGTTCAGTAGAAATCCCGGAGCTATGCGCTGGACGTCCACTGAGGCTCGCTGCTGCTGACAGCCACGCACGAGAACGCAATCTGACTCTTAAATTGACAAGCAGGCATATAGAAATTAGCGGTGCACCCCTCCCCCTGACTGACAGAGGCAGGGACCAGTCACAAGGAGCGAAAGGAGGGAGGATTTGAACTGATTTATCCCCGCTCGGAAACTCGTCTCTGTGTTGCGCAATGATGCAACTTTGAATGCCTTATGAGCAAGTTGTGATTTCTGTTTCGTTTGTTGGAAATCAGTGCAATTGTTCTCTAAACAGTCTTCGTCCAGTTTTAAACCGGATTACAGCATTTGGTCGGCTATGGTGAAATAAGTCCTTTTTTGGCCAACATTTAAAACTACTGCAAATTTCCTGTGGCACTCAGCCTTTAACCCTAGTTTTAGATAGATAGATATTTTCTTCATTTTCATTGTATAAAAGAATGAAACGAAACTTTGTAGGGCAAGTTTTAGGCAACTAGAATGACTTTGAACAATACACTTTGATTTCAATTATGTCTTTTAAGCTATCTTTCAGTTCAAAACCTGATAGAGCACATTCTTAGAATGTCTAAATTTGATGCTGCCACTGCTTTACTTAGAGAAAAGCATAATTAGTTCATTTTGCATCCCTTGCTTTTTTACTATTACTATACATTTTGATTCTAAAACATTTCTATACACCAATTTAGGTTGTTACACTAATGTATAGGAATGAATGAACCAAGCCCAAACACCTCATTAAAGGGATAGTTCAACTTTTTTGCAGTGGGGTTGTATGAGGCACAATGATTATAGTAAGTAGTAGTAAGTGTTGGCCTATTACCCACAGAAGATGCTGGTCAGCTTGGCCCCTTTTATTGAGAAACCAGACCTGGTGCTCAAAGCTAGGCTACAGGCCTAAAACACTGCTGCAGACGGGGCTATTTGTACCACGTAATTTGGCTAATTTTCAAAAAAACAATCTAAACCTTCACTCTTTACTTTACCATCAGCAAGCCACTTTGTTTGAGCACGTATAGTCTTCAGTCTGCAGTGCACTGAGCAGCTGTTTCACAGAGAAAACAAGAAACAACAAAACTGAAAAATGACTCAATGAGCAATTTTATTGTGAAATGCTGTTTACTGTGGAAAATAGTCCTTTAATAAACCAGAATTCACAGAGGAAAAGCTTCTGTAGAAAGGGAATCAACAGGTCCAAAGAGAGGGGGGAACTTCTGTGGAAACTGGAGAATGGAGAGATACTAAGTTAGCTGGTGATGCGGGTATAAAACTGTGAGTTTATATCCATAAACCCAGAGAACTTGGACTTGGTTAGTACAGTACTTCAGGACCGTCCTGAATAAGAAGGTACCAGCGTCCCTGCCGTACTGAATGCCGATGTTCTGGTGGAGGATCAGGTGTGGTGTGCTGAAGAAGTGCTCAGACAAAGAGGCATACTGGTGGCAAAGTAAAGGGGTGAACATTTTTAAATGTAATGTACACTTTCATGGTAATTTCCGGTCAACTTTTCTGATAATTCACTCAATAACGTGTTACAAACGGACTGTCTGCTGTGATGTTTAGCCTAGCTTTAGTGCTATACTCCTACTGGTTTCTCCATAGCATCTGCATAGGTAATACACTTACCACTGACACGTACCTCATACAACCCAACTTCATAAATTCAAACTGTCTTCCTTCAAGACAAATAGATGTTATGCCATAAAGTGTATTTAATTGGTCTGTTAGCTGAAGAGGTGCCAGTTCACTTCCTGAGCACTGCCGATGTACACTTGAGCAAGGCACTGCACCTGCCCGCCAGCTCAGGAGCGCTCGCTGTGGGCAGCCCCCTCACTCTGACATCTCTCCATTAGTGCATGTCCATGTAGCATGTTCAACAATAGAGTGTAAAAATTTAATTTCCCCTCGCAGGATTAATAAAGTACATCTTCCTTCTCCCTATTTATAGTATTGCTCTTGTCATCGGCATCTCAACTGTTCTCTCTCTGTAAAACAATACAGCTCTAAAGTCATGTGATCAAACATATCAGGGACCATATTTCAGTCCACAGCTTCACCTTTTTGTGCGTGGATGAGTGTGTGCTTACATTTGTTTGTATGTGTCAGATTGTGTGTATGCAGGTGGCTTTTGGAGTGGTAGAGGTCATCTGATGTTTGTCGAGGCAGTGTTTGTTTGGTTACCTTGGCAGATGGATGGTTTGTGTGGGGGTGAGTGTGTGTGTGGGGGGTTTGCAGGCACAGCTGGAGGCTGTTTGTGTCTCTGCCACAGACACTAAGGAAAAACAAAATAACATTTAAAACAGTACTATTGCCATTATTCCCATTGCACAATTGTGCAATAGAAATAAAACATTTTTTTTTCCCCATAGCAATAAATCATGTTGCCTTAAGAGTGATGGTAACACTTAACACGCTGCCAGCCAGCTCTGAGAAAATAATATGAGTAGCTGGAAAGTAAATGATACAATAATAGATATTATGTATCAAAACTGTGTTGGGGTTCCAATATTTTTTCACTGTCATTGGAAACATTTCCTTTTCAAAACCCAATCAGATGTCATCCGGGATGATTTTCCTCACAATGTCAACACACAACAGCACCTCCTTCATTTGCAACATCTGCCTGGAGCCGCCCGCTCCAACACAAACACAACATCCAGGAAACCAACCCCACAGCATGCATAATCAGCCCTTGCAACACAACGTGCCTCTTGTCCTCAGGCTCTCCCTCCGCGCTCCCTCCGCTTCGTCTCCTCCTTAAAGCTCTTGTAAAAGGGGCCCAACCCACTGACCGCTGGACGGACACCCACTGCTGGTTGACGACAGATCACACTAAAGGACCTTGGAGAGCCTCGGTTTCCATTCACTGACAGAGATTGTGCCCAAGCAGCACTGACCTATTTGCCTGGGCGATTGGGCTTCGGACAGGGCCAACTGACAGCTTTTAGAGGCCCCTCATCCTGATATCAAAATCCAGATGTTTGTTTCTGTCCAACTGAAATGTCATCAAAGCACCTTCTCCCCTTTCTGTCCATACTGATTTGAAGTTTAAACTCTCCTAGGGATCACAAGTTTGTTTATCTTTAAAGAGGCAGTGGATTTCCATGGGTTTCAAACAGAAGATGACTGAGATTTTTATTATTTTTATCCCGTTTGTGGCACTACATATCACTAACACGATACTATACACTATCGTGAACTCTACACAAAGTGTAGACCAGACAATCATGAAATATGAATGCTGTTTGTCTTATTGGTTTATTTTCTCTGACCAATGTTACATGCTATGAAAAAAGACAAATTCAAATGCAGAATGTCACAATTTGGCAGACTTGGCATTAAGAGGTACAACTATTTCAGTGTTGTCATGGTACCCTTCTTTTTTCAGAAGGCAAAACAATTTTATGGGCAGGTACCAAATACGCTGACAGAGTTTTACGGGATGGACAGATGGCCTTGGAGGAGTTTGTTTAACTATGGGCCCTGTAATGTTATGTTTCATTTGCCTTCAAAGTGTCTTACATTTGAGCTCCCTTGCAGGTTCTTGTAGATACGACCATGCACCTGCTTTAATCCAACTCCTACAATTACAATTATCTGTCATACAAATTTTATAATCACTACAGGTGGTACTGCTCATTTAAATCATATGCTTTAGGCAGATGGTTGTTCAATAATGAGTCTGGTTATGCTCCAGTCCTGTCTGCCTATTAAAAGGAAGATTTCCTTGACAGCGTTGCAAAGTGCTTGCTCATTTGTGGACTTTAGTCAGGTTATAAATCAAAGGGTCAGTCTGAACATGTTTTTTGTGCTATTATCGCGCAGTATAACTTTATCATTTAAGTATCATATGACCATCATATACATTTTCTGTGGTGCAATGTAGAGGCATTTTGAGTAATCCATGCCAAGACCAGGGCACCATTTGAGCTCGGGCCATCAATAAACCCTCATTAGATTCAGAAAAAAACATCAACATATGACCTGTGTCGATGCTGCATGAACTTGGCATTTGGGAAACTTAATTTACATCAAGTATGGTATTGAACCCCGCAGTGTCCTATTCATCATGTATGCCAAGTTTTTCAATTTGTTTAGTGCCAAGTTCGTTAAAACAGAAGCCAGTCCACTACACTACTATATGTGCCTGAGTGTGAGTCTCCTGACAGAGCAGACAGGGGAAAAGGTGGGTCAGGGAAGGGTGTTTTGCATGACCTGAGTAACAGTAGTGTGTGTGTGTTAATGATGTTCTGAGTCATACATCCCTGGCAAAATACAGCAGCATGGGTTGTACGCTTCCCTGTCTCATACACTGAAGCTTCTGGCTATGATTTTAATCCTGGTTTTTGAACCAGAGATTGGATGACCTCTCTCTGTCATTTAAACCTGTTGCTTCTTGTCTCTCCTCTGCTCAGGCAGCGGATTTACACCTGACTGCTGTGGGGGCGTCATGCTTGTACTGAGGAGGTGTTTTTTGGAATGTAGACTGGTGTGATTGATGGTTTGGAGGTGACCTAACTGGCAGCAGAAGTACAATGTAGAGTGTGATATGGTTGTGTCGAGTGCGTGTTGAGAGGACGGCGTGTGACACACCTGATTACAACCCCCTAAGATGTGCTCCGAGGTTTTTACCCTGAGGATCAGCGTACAGAGCTAGTTATCACCCTAGCTTAGCTTATCTGTGGGCGCATGGTGCCGGACTGAGCCATACTTTGCAGATCCAGGCCAGTGGGTGGGAGTAAAGGGTGTGTGGGGGGGTATTATGCCGATTTATGCTGACAGTTGAAAGAGTTTCAAAACCCTTTAACACATTAACTAAAGAGCGGAATGCATTTAGTGCAGAAGCTATAGGCACAGACTGATGAATGGCTTGTTTAAAGGTTGGAGCAGATGAGATCATCTGTTTTTTTGTTTTTTTTTAAAAGAAGTCAAAAGGAAAAAAAAGAAAGGGTGACATAAAAAAAGATTTTAAAACAAGAGAAAAGGATTAAAAGGGATGATGACTTATTTAACATACAGTACATATTGAGGTAATAATCAAGA